CTCCGGCGAGAAGCCCTTCCTGTGCCCACAGTGCGGCAAGATGTTCTCCGACCCGTCCAGTTTCCGCCGGCACCAGCGAGCCCACCTGGGATTCAAGCCCTACCCGTGCGACAAATGCTCCAAAAGATTCCGACAGCCGGCCGATCTGGCCGTGCACGAACGGGTCCACTCCGGGGAGCGACCTTACAAATGTCAGAGCTGCGACAAGGCCTTCGTGGCATCCTGGGACCTGCGCCGGCATTTGCTGGTCCACACGGGTCTGCGGCCCTTCTCGTGCAGCGAGTGCGACAAGTCCTTCGCCGAGCGCTCCAGCCTCAACAAGCACCGCCGCGTGCACTCGGGAGAGCGGCCGTTCAAATGCGGCGAGTGCTTGAAGTCATTCGTCGTGTCCTCCAGCCTGCGCAAACATGAGAGGACTCACTTAGCCGAGCAGGCGCAGGCGCGCCCGCCGACGCGACCGGAGGACGAGGACGAGGCTGCCGGCTTGGCCGGCCGCCGCGCCACTCTGCCACAGTTCTCCTGCGCTCACTGCGACGCCACCTTCGGCACCTGGGGTGAAGTCCAGGCCCACGAGAACCTCCACGTCCAGCGGGCCAAGACGGCGGGCTCGCACACCTGCTCCACCTGCCGGGCGGAGTTCTCCGAGGCGGCGGAGCTGCAGGAGCATGAGAAGCAGCATCCCAAGCCCAGGCCTCACGTGTGCGCCAGCTGCGGCAAAGGTTTTCTCAACCGGGCCGGCCTGCGCAAGCACCAGAAGATCCACTCCAGCAGTAAACCTCACAGCTGCTCCCAGTGCGGAAAAGCCTTCCTGTTCCCCGCCTACCTCCGCAAGCACTTACGGACGCATGCGGCCGCCTCGCGGTCCGACCTGAACATCATCCACACCGACCCGCTGCCCTCGCCGCCGCCCCCCGGCGACCCGCCGCCCACGGCCGCGGAGGCCAGCGGCACCTCCTTGACCGATCCCGTCAGTGTGTCTGCCGCCGCTTTTCACACTCTGCCAGAGTACCTGATCAAGGAAGAAGGACTTTAAATTCCACTAGTGGCCGTCAACTGAGTTACAGTTCTTGGGACCAAGCCGTAGGGGTGTGACATTTATGGTGGATTTGCGGAAATTAAGAAAAATATTCCAAGTGGGAAGTTACTGAGAATCGAGAGTCATTTTAAGGAAAAGTATTATATTCAAGCTGAAGTATTTTGTTTTGCCATAAGCAGACATCCATGCAAAATAGATGGCTCTCCTTGCCTACATGCAAGGGCATCACTGAACCTTCACTACTGCATTTTTTTGGAGATGGATGGCTGGATGGTCCAGTGCACCTTCTCGCCAGAATTTTGTCGTTTTTCCTCACAAAAAGTGATGCACGGAAAATAACTTAAAAGCAAAGCAACGATCGCATTTCCAAAAGGTGTCCAGCTACATCCAGCACTTAACCTTTTTTGTATCCTTGCCTACATTTTTTTGCAGAAATATTTTGCCTTCTGCGAAAGTTTCAAGTGTGCCCATCACACTCGAACTTCCATGAAAAGAAGGTCAAATGCTGCACAATTGTTTTCCATGACAGCTTATCTAAAGAATATTTGCTTTGTTTTGTATTGCTGACGCGGAAGCGATTTACTGTGTACTTGCATCACCTCAAGAAAACACAATTTGTCATTCCAAGAGGAATAAAAACTGCATTTCACACATACGGGAGTACTCATGTTGTCATTTGAGTGCGTGGTGCGCAGTCAGTGGAATTGCCGAAAACCTGCCCCAAGACTCAAAACTACAGCGCAAACAACCGCGGAGCTAATTTATTATAAACGGCCGTACTTTTCCCACCAGTGATCTATACGGTGCTGTAATGGATGCGTCTTAAAAACAAGCACGCTTGGACTGATTAAAATTGTCTTTTAATTTTACAAAGTGGGCTAGAAAAATACCCATTTAAATCAACTGGCTACTTGTTGTGGGGGGGGGGGATTTTGCTGCAGTAAGAGACGTGGTCAGCCACACCCGACAAGGTGACTTAAGATAAGATAACCTTTATTTGTCCCACATTGGGGAAATTTGTAGTCTACAGCAGCAAAATTGAGGGGAGGGGGAGACAAAGTGTTTCATTGCACAAAATAAATGTTTCAGAAAAGAACTGTACACAGTTCAATATAAGTGCAATATAAAATATAGCTTTAGCAATATATTTGTAGAATAAATATAATAAATTAGCAATAGTATGGCTTCTATGGTGTCCACGAGTCGTCATTCATGATGAACGAGCGGCGGAGTCACTTTAAATCTGTTCATATTTCCGCTAAATAGCAACCACTGTGGGTATGGCATTGTTGTTATAGTTCAAAAAGTTTGGGCCCCCCACCCTCCCCAAGCAATTCATATAGTGGACTCACCAAAGGAACTGTGGCTTATCAGCACTTTGTGTGCGTGTGCGCGTTGTGCTTTTCAGGATTTGGATTGCTTCCAATGGGGGGAAAAGTGAAGGTTCTGGTGATCCTTTATCATGATGGTCTTCCTGTTGCTCTGCTTCATGGTGTACAGCAACGCCGCGCCGGCATCTGTCAGAGACTGGTGGGAGGACACGGGAGGCGTGGGGGGGGGGGGGGAGTTAGGGAGTCATTCCAGCAGGAAGTATTCTAGCACCACGCAACAATAGCTGGAAGTACTCTAGTTTCGACATTGCTGCACGCTTGAAGAATTCCACACGAAAAGTATGCTAGCAGGAAGCCTGGCGGGCATTTGGAAGTATTGTTGGAGAAATGACAGCAGACGGAGCGAGTCGTTTCAACAGGAAGCATTCTGCTTTCCAAACTACAGGCCCATTTGCGGCCCGTCATCCATTGGTCAGCGGCCCGCGACATGACCCAAAACAATAAAAAACCAGAACAACCTAAAAATGACATTTGACATGGGCCGCAACTTGAGTTAAAAAAAGGTGGAAGTGGGCAGAGCGAGAAGGGAGGGTGTCAGAAAAACAGGTGCCATTAAAGATCATTCCATTTTAGAGGCAAAAACGGTTTCTTCCACTCTGTGCTCAATATCTGATTTGTGAAGACATCACACCAATGATTCTCACAAGTAACTGTTTGAAAAATGGTCACCCGAGTACAGTTTGTTCTTTTGTGGGTCGTGAATGTGGAGATTCGGCTGCTGTTGACTGCAGAGCTGGATCGACTCTGCGAGATAGACGGCTGTTGGCCGCCCCCAAAACTGTTTGCCTTCACTCCTTTCACAGAAAGCTGATGAAATTAACGAGACAATACAAACAAGCGAGAACTGCTTTCTTGACTGACTTGAGCGTGTTTCAAAAAGTTGAAGGATTCTAAAAGTGGCCCATTCATTCTTCCATTTTTCTGTATGCGGCCCTCAAACGAAAACGTGCGGACACACTCATCCCAGATTTTTTGATGTCATTTACCTGTGAGTCGGAGACGACAGATTTAGCCTGGAAAAGATGAAAAAAAGAAAGAGATGACATTAAACCAGAAAAAAAAAGCCACATACTAAACACGTGGACAAAAAAAAAAAAAAGAACAGACCCTTG